TAAGCCTCTCTGGTTGGTAGCCAGCACACGCTAGCTAGCTTATCATTACATCATCACTCAGCCAGGGGGGGCACCACTACCCGCCACATCTGGATTTAGGCCCGTGTTTTAGACACAGGCCGGGAAAAAAGGGTTAATAATTGAATGCTTTGTGGTTTATTCATGGGGGATCGTTCTCGCCTGACCTGTTTTGTTGAACCAACATGCGAAAATATACACGAGAAATTCATGAAGTAGACGATTCAAGACAAAAAAAATGAGATTATTTGAATATATAGCAATTAATTTCTTCAAATGGAGCTATTTTTAGTGTCTGCTCATGTTGTTTTTAAGGTTTTACTGTGAATTGATATGAAAAAATATTCAGATTCTTAGTTAATTTTCCACATAAAACTAAATTTATTTACACTCTGTTCCAAATCAGACAATATGTGATAAAAGTCACTTTAATAGCTTTGATTTAAAGCCATTTTCGGAAAATCTAGTGGAAGCTTTCCTCATTACAGACTTCCTCCTGTGCGGGACAGCTGTTTCCAGCTGTGTTTTCGTGCTTTATAATGAGATAAGATGCTTTTTTTCTGCTTTATGCAGCCAAAGAGGAGCTGCATGAAGCCTCAAAAGGAGGTAATTTAAGTTATGTCCTTTCTTGGTGAACTTTAAAAGAGCTTTAAAATGTAAAATGATCAAATCTTACGCTGTTATGCAGATCTATATATGTACTATGTACTTGAATCTGAATTTGAAGAAATCCTGGTAGGTTGTAAGGTAAAAAACAGGGTAGGCAAGAATAAGCTTTGCTTCGGCCTATTCCCTTTTTTGGTAAACTGTGGGTTTGTCTATTGTTTTTTTCTTTTTTTCTTTTGTTGTTTCTTGTGTTTAATGTGGACAATTTACCAAAATAAAGTGATTGATTGATTGATTGATTGATAGGTCCGGTGGATCAGAACCGGCCTCCAGGATTCAGCTGAGTCTCTGTGACTGGTTTTATGAACAGAAACCCAGAGTTCACAGAGAGAACTTAGCCTCAGAAACAGAACAGAAAGTCAAAGTTTGGCCTAAAAGCCCCTTAAAATAGCTACAGGCTTCTGGAAAAAAGGAGGTTCTGGACACTCCAGACTCTAAAATGGGATTTTTAGAGGCTAATCGTCCAGTTTAAGTGTGGAAAAACGATCCTGAAGTGAGAGTTTATTGACTGTGTGACGAAAAGAAACTCTGAGCGTCCAAAATCCAACAGATGGCAAAACATCAGCATTTATTTCTATTTATATTTTTATTTTTTAAACTGGAGCATGGTTTCACTCCTTTCCTGCAGCAGGGTGAAGGCTAAGCTAGCTCTCAGGATATATATACGTTAACAACTGTTAACCCGATTCTTTAGTTGGAAACCTGAGAATAAATCAGAGTAGATCAAAAGTATTAAAAAAACATTTATTGGACACATTTATTGGATCTAATGCAACAGAGAGAGAAAAGGAGAGAAAAGAGAGTCTGTGTACACAGCCAGAGACTTTAACACAAAATATAGTTATAAAAGAAAATAAAACAATCAGTAATTTACATAGATCATGTGATAGCATAATATGCTAAAGTGAGTCATTTTAGCCAAATTCTAACATGACTGTGTGAAGAAAAGAAACTCATAGAGTCCAAAATCCAACAGATGGCAAAACATCAGCATTTTTTTCTATTTCTATTTTTATTTTCCCTCAAATTAAAGCGAATTTGAGGGAAACTGGAGCATGGTTTCACTCCTTTCCTGCAGCATGTTGAAGGATAAGCTAGCTCTCAGGATATATATATGTTAACAACTGTTAACCCGATTCTTTAGTTGGAAACCTGAGAATAAATCAGAGTAGATCAAAAGTATTAAAACAACATTTATTGGACACATTTATTGGATCTAATGCAACAGAGAGAGAAAAAGAGAGAAAAGAGAGTCTGTGGACACAGCCAGAGACTTCAACACAAAATATAGTTATAAAAGAAAATAAAACAATCTGTAATTTACATAGATCCTGTGATAGCATAAAATGCTAAAGTGAGTAATTATAGCCATATTCTAACAAAACCAACATTTAGGCTCAGTTTGTTTTCTTTTCTTTTAACACTCCTGCATCTTTCATGCGGGCATCTTTGTCCCAGCATGTTTATAAATGAATAATTCAAGGGCCCGATGTCACAAAGCTGCCACGGAAACGAGGACGCGGAGGCTTTCCGGACTCATTCCCGACACATATTCCGGACTCATTCCGGACTCATTCCGGACTCGTTCCAGACTCATTCCGGACTCTTCCCGGACTCGTTCTGGACTCATTCCGGACTCATATTCCGGACTCATATTCCGGACTCATATTCCGGACTTGTTCCGGACTCATATTCCGGACTTGTTCCGGCCCCTTTCCCGGACTCATATTCTGGACTCATATTCCGGACTCATTCTTGACTCGTTCCGGACTCATATTCCGGACTCTTTCCAGACTCATATTCTGGACTTATTCCGGACTCGTTCCGGACTAATTTCCGACTCGTTCCGGACTCATTCCGGACTCATGTTCCGGACTCATTCCGGACTCCTTCCCGACTCATTCCGGACTCATTCCCGACTCGTTCCGGACTCATTTCCGACTCGTTCCGGACTCATTCCGGACTCATGTTCCGGACTCATTCCGGACTCCTTCCTAACTCATTCCGGACTCATTCCGGATTCATTCCAGACTCGTTCCAGACTCATTCCGGACTCATTCCGGACTCGTTCCGGACTCATTCCGGACTCATATTCCGGACTCGTTCCGGACTCATTCCGGAATCGTTCCGGACTCATTCCGGAATCGTTCCGGACTCATATTCCGGACTCATTCCGGAATCGTTCCAGACTCATTCCGGACTCGTCCCCGACTCGTTCCCGACACATATTCCGGACTCATTCCAGACTCATTCCGGACTCGTTCCAGACTCATTCCGTACTCATTCCGGATTCATTCCGGACTCATTCCGGACTCATATTCCGGACTCATTCCGGACTCATTCCGGACTCGTTCCAGACTCAT